TTATCAGGTGAGAACACACTTCATTGTTACTACAGGTGAAGAATCCTAGACACCTCCCTAAATCTGATCTTATTGGTGGAGGGACATAGTCATACTAGGGGCCTATATAAGACCAGTAGCTAGTTCAAAACCTGACGAGGATTACTGGGGATGGGGAAGGGGGAAAGCAGGAGAATCCCCTCCCTAGAGCTCTCTTGTTTGCAGCTTGTTTAAATCTCCTGAACTTCTTCTAACTTTTTTATACAAGCCTCCTAGGGTATGACCAAGTATGTCACCCAATAGGAACAACTTCTGTTGTACCTAGAGAAGTGTCCAGGTCTTGCTTACATTAAGTGAACAACTCAGATGTGTTCTCAACTGATAAATATAGCAGGCCATAGCATCTTATCATTTACTTTAAGTGAGGTAGGATTATTGTCTAGGCTGACCTTTGGCCTTATGTATGTCAAGTCAGTCCATGTTGCTTGTCCTTCGTTCTTGAAGAGGACCAATGACATCAGCAGGGTGATGTTTTGACTTGCAAATGAATTGGATTTAAGTGAGGCAGGGCTGTGCAAAGTCACCAGCCTCACTCTCTCCTCCAGAGTCATCAGAGTCCAGTGGCAAGATATAGGTCAAGATGACTAGTGATGGCCCAGGATGCCATGCAGCAGGAGACCTTGGCCTTTTTAAGGTAAGGTCTTTCCCAGGTCTCAGTTTGTCTGAGGCAACACCCATTCAGTAGTCAAAGGTGAGGTAAGAATTGAAGTAAAAATGCTCTACTTTGCTTTCTCAAAATAATCCCAAACAAAAGAACTATGTTTCTTATGGAATGTGATAAGGGGGTAAAGGAAATTTAGGTACACACATGCCTTGCCAACAGTCACAAACAAGTAAGGGAGCAGGATTTAAACTCAGCTTACTTATTGTCTCCAAATTCAGCATACCTTTCATCAAATACCAAAGTGGCAATGTTAGGAATTTTATATCATAGTTAGGTAACATCATCTTTGGTGATGGTGGTGATAGTATGAATAAAAATCAGTTATATTACACTTCATTGCTTAACATTTGACTAACAAACTTAACTTATAGTCTCCTTGGAATTAGATGGTGACGATTTTCATTATCATCATCATCATTATCATCATTATTATTATTATGGCTGCTAGGTGGCACAGTGGATAGAGTGCCAGGCTTGAAATCAGGAAGACTTATCTTCCTGTATTCAAATCTGGCCTCAGAGTAACTTAACCCTGTTTGCCTCAGTTTCCTCATCTGTAAAATAAGATGGAAAAGAAAATGGCAAATCACTCTGGTATCTCTGTTAAGAAAACCTCAAAAGAGGATCACAAAGAGTCAGACACAATTGAAAAATGACTAAGCAAATTATTATCATAATTAAAAATGACAGTGATAATGAAATAATAGCTTACATTGATATGTTGTGGTTTATAAAATGCTTTTTTTCACAACCAACTGTAAAAAAACTTCCTTTCATATTTTGAGAGACTGAGACTCTGTGTGTGTGTGTGTGTGTGTGTGTGTGTGTTGGAGCCCCAGCAGGACTTGAACTCAGACCTTATGATTCTAAGTCATAAGATCATGGGATTTTAGCATTAGAAAAGTACTTACAGGTTATCTAGTCCAATTGTCTCATTTTAAAGATGAGGAAGCCAAGGTTCAGTGAGTTTAAGTGACTTGCTCAATTCACATAGGCAGGAAATGTCAGATGTGGAATTTGAACCCTGGTTTTCAGGTTCCGAATCCAGTATATCAGACTGCCTCTCTATGTAAATAGTGATGGCATGCTTTGTGACTGAAATGTTACTTTTACTGTTAAAAAATATGATATGGAGGAAAATTCTGGAAGAGTTATAGTTTTGCTATGGTTACTGATGGCCCTAGTGGCCCCTACTCATAAGGGGTCCCTGGGTCTGCTTTCACATAGACCATGGTTTAGCCCTGGGGAAGTTCAACCCATTCCTGCTTTTCTTGCTTTCTCTGGCTAGTTATGCCATGATGCCCTTCTCCCCCCCCACCCCGATCTCAGGGAAAATCTAAATAAAGTTTAGGCATGACTTATTTTTAGGATTAATTGAGTCCCTCTAGAAATATTACTCCATACTAGACCAAATAACATTCAAGAAATATAAAGAAAATCTTCTATAATTACCTTCATCCAGCCCAGTACAACAAACTAGAAAGGGGTCCATCAGAAAAGCCAGCATGAGGGCAGGCAAACAAGATAAAAACTGCCAATGAAGGTCAGGCACATTTCTGTGACAACTAACGCCTCCATCACTGTGCCTGGCAACAGGGGGATTGGAGAGCTCAGATAAGGCTCCAAAAACACCATTATTCACAGAATAGCAACTCACTGGTCAAGTCAGCCCATAAACATTTATTAAATGCCTATTATGTACCAGGCAATATGCTAAGCCCTATGGATACAAAGAAAGGCAAAAGACAATCCCTCTTTTCAAGGAGCTCACAGTCTAAACAAGCTATATACAGGCTAAAACGTAAATAATCATCAGAGGGAAGGCACTTGAATTAAGGGGGATCAGAAAGGCTGCCCGTAGAAGGTGGAATTTTAGCTGGGACTTGAAGGAAGCCAGGGAAGTCAGGAGGTGGAGATGAGGAGGGAGAGAGTTCCAGACATGGGGGACAGTCAGTGAAAATGCCTGGATTGAGGAGATGTTGATTTTTTTTTTGTAATGACCTCTATCCCTTGTTTGGTTAAAAATTCATTCCATACCCATAGCTGTGAAAGGTTTACAATCTGCTTCCTTTCTATTGTTTCATGCTATGATTTTTAATATTTATGTCATATCCATTTTGAATTTATTTTGGATATGGTATGGGATGGTGGTTGTTGTTATTGTTTTTGCCCATGTAGATTATATTCCTGTGGGTCTGTTTAGATGTGGCTCATAGGGAGGAAAGAATAGACATATCTAGCCTCTTCCCCCCTCCACCTTCTGCCTGGGAGTCTTTAATTCCTACCAGGAAGGGAAGCAGGGGGTTGAGGCCATAGGCCAGCCACTCTGCTCTCCTCTGGGAGAGGGAGTACTGAGCTACAATTACATCTATCTGCTCCCTTAAATATTGTTAATGTAGGGGGAAGCAATTTTTAGGTTTAACCTAACTCCTGAATGCTGTTCCTTAATGGGGAAGGAGGATCCCAAGCTTTATATTCAAGGGCTTGACTGCCTTTCCATCAGATGCTAGTTCTAAAATGAACACACATAGCAAATAGCAAATAAACTCATTTATCTAAGTAGATAACAAAACAGAAATCAGAGAAAGTATACATAGGAGAAATATATCAGACAATATAGATTAAATGAGTTCTCCTTTTGGGAATGAGATAATCCAGTTCAACCAGGAGAGAGAGTCCCAGACCTCACTCAAGGGGAAATTTCCCAAATTCTTTAGAGTAGCAAGCTGGGGATAGGGACTTGATAGGGATGGCCAGCTTATCTACATGCCACTTCCTCTCAGTCTTCCTTTCTCTTTCCCTGAAAAAAGGTTGGAATTGTTCATCTTCTCTGTCAAAGTTGGAAGCTAGAAGTCCTTTGAGCCAAGGGTTTATAGGTATAAGCCTAATTTCTGCCAAACTGCTTTCCAGCTTTCACAGTTCTTATTAAATAGGGAGTTTTTTTTTCCCCTAGAGAATTTGTTTCTAGATTAGGAGCTTGCATTCTAACAGGGTAGACAACACATATCTAAGGTGATGGGGATGATGGAAGCAAGGGGGATCAGGAAAGGCTAGATGTAGATGACTGAATGGTGCTCAGAGATAGGAAGGGAACTATGGAAGTGTTTTGCATGACTACACGTGTATAACCTGTATCGAGTTGCTTGCCTTCCCAGTTAGGGTGTGGGGAGGGGAAAAGGGAGAAAATTTGGAACCCAAAGTTTTAAAAATGAATGTTAAAAAAATTGTTTTCACATGCAACTGGGAAATAAGATATACAGGCAATGGGGTATAGAAATCTATCCTGCCCTACAGGAAAATTGAAGGGAAAGGGGATAAAAGAAGTGGGGAGAGATAGAAGGTAGGGTAGATTAGGGGAAGGGGTATTCAGAATGCATGCCATCTTGGGGTGGGGGGAAGGATGAGATGGGGAGAAAATTTGGAACTCAAAATCTTGTGGAAGTGAATGTTGAAAACTAAAAATAAAAAAAAGAAAATTAAGAAAAAAGAAAAAAAATTGGAAGGGAGGAAAAATCAGGAAGGGAATTGAGAGAACTTATGTAGTATGGTCAGATTTCTAAATAACAGTTATCTTGGTAAAGTGCTTTGTATCTATTATCTAATTTGAGTATTTCAATAGTCCTGTGAAGCAGGTGCTACCATTACTCCTATTTTACTGATGGGGAAACGGAGGTTCAGGAAGGTTTTATCAGACTCACACAGTGAGTGTCACCTTGAACCCACGTCTTCCAGACTCCAAGTACACATCCCGCTCTCTAGGGCACATTGCCTGGGAGAGGCTTGGGACTCAGGGGATGCCAGGGCTGCAGAGCAGCCTTTGGTACCACTTCTGACTTGTGTTTCACTTTCTTAAATTTGATACGTCAGCTTCTTCATTCATCAATGACCATCAGTTTAAGGTTGGAAGGGACCTCAGGGGCCTTTTATTCCAGTTCTCTCATTTCACAGATGAGGAGACTGAGGTCCAAGGGAGGGGAATGGATTTGCCCAAAGTACAGGTAATCAGTGGAAGAATCAGGATTGGAATCCAAGGTCTCGGACTCCAAAGGCTGAGTTTCTTTCTTTCTTCCTTCCCTCCCTCACTCCCTTCCCTTCTCTCCCTCCTTCTTTCCTATATCTTTTCCTTTCCTCCCTTCTTCCCTCTTTCCTTCCCCAGCGGCACGCCAGCCCTCAGGTCTAGCCCCAAACCCTCGAGCTGTAGTCACCGTTTTTTTTAAAGTTCCATTCGACCTCACGCGAGCCCCAGTGCGGGCCCCGCCTCTCCTTGGCTCACGACCTTCCGGCGCGCACGCGTAGACTCGACTTCCTTTTACTGCGCAGGCGCCGTGCCCTAGGCAACCCGGAAAGAAGACGTTCGGGTAGTGCCTCAAGATGAAGTACGAAACCTATAGTTTGATGGGATTGGGGACCCTGGGGAAGGCAGTAGGGTGGGCGGGCGGGGTAACCTGCTCCAGGTCGGGAGGGCGACCCAGCGGGGGCCGGGGGGGGAGGCGGGAGGGAAGGGCCGGGCGCTGGCCTCGGGTGGCGCGTTCCGGCCTCCCCCTCATCTCCGCTTTCCTCTTCTCGCTCCCGCAGTGCCCTGACCAAGGTGAAGCTCATCAATGAGCTGAACGAGCGGGAGGTGGAGCTCGGGGTGGCCGAGAAGGTATCCTGGCACGCCGAGTACAAGGACAGCGCTTGGATCTTTCTGGGTGAGGCCTCCGCGTTCCCTCCTCCTCCCCCTTCCCCTTCCATTCAATTTTCTAAACGTTTAATAAGAGCCTACTACGTGCCAGGCGACGTACTTTTCCAGCCCCTTCTCAGGGCAGCAGCCCTGACAGGTCCTCGCGCCACTGGGGCCTCTGTGCCCACCCACGTAGGTAGGGTACCCCGAGGATTTCCACACCACTCTAGATGTCTGATCTCCTTTGTTCCCTCCACAGTCACAAGGAGTGTCAGGCTTAGCATTTTCATTTACGGAAAAGGAAGGTGTAGCAGGTAGGGTAAAGCACAAGAAGACCTACTACACCTGTGACCACAAGCTACATTACATTAACCTTGGAGGCTTCACCTCCACCTCCCTGAGCCTTGGGCAACTCCCTAAGATTTATATTTTAAGTTAAATAGGGTTGCCATCTCTAGAAGCTGATACCTTGACAATAATAGGGAATTTAAGAAGAGGCTCACAACCTAGGTGTTATCCTCAGCCCCACATCACTCACTCTTACCCTCCCCATACAATCTGTTGCAAAGTCCTGTCAATGCTGCCTTCTGTTAATATCTCTTTTGTATGTTCCCTTCTGTCTTCTAACGCTTCTACCAACCTGATACAGGTGCTCATCACCTCATACCTGGACTATTGCAGTAACCTGCTGGTTGGTCTTCTTTCCTCAAGTTTCTCCTCCTCCATTAACTTTTTTTTTTTTAATTTTTAGGCGATTGAGGTTAAGCGACTTGCCCAGGGTCACACAGCTAGTAAGCGTCGAGTGTTTGAACTGAGAGCGGATTTGAACTCAGGTCCTCCTGACTTCAGGGCTGATGCTCTGTCCATTGAGCCACCTAGCTGCCCCACTCTATTAACTTTCAAAGTGATTTCCTCAAAGCACAGGTCTGACAATGTCTTCTCCCTATTTAATAAATTCATTATCTTTTCCCCTAAACTCTGCTCCCATCCAAGCTTCCCCTAATACTGTAGAGGGCTCCCTCATCTTCCCAGTCCCCAAGGCTTGAAACCTAAGTGTCATTCTTGACTCCTCACTATCTCTCACCCCCCATACCCAATCTGTTGCCAAGATGTATTGATACCTTTGCAGCATCTCTCCAACATATACTTCTCTCTGATACTGGCACCACGCAGGTACAGGCCCTCATCATCTCATATCTAGACTTTTTCAATGGCCTGCTTGGTGGGTCTGCCTGCCACAAATTTCTCCCTACTCCAGCTCATCTTCTATTCAACTATCAAAGTAATTTTCCTAAAGTGAAGATCTGACCATACCACCCCCATACTTAAATTTCAGTGGCTCCCTGTTACCTCTGGGATCCGATATAAATCCCACTGTTTGACTTTCAAAACCTTTTCTAACTTGGCCCCCTCTTACCTTTCTGATCTTGTACTTTACTCACCCCTATGTACTGTGCAATCTAGTGGCCTTCCTTCCTTCCTTCTTTCCCCTCTTCTCCTCCTCCTTCTCCCTCTGTCCACGTAGGGAACCATATACTTATCTTTGGGTGCTCTGTCCAAAGGAATATACATTTTGATTGCTGAAACCTTGCAAAATATCTTAGGGTTTATGGGCTAGATTTGTTTCTTTTCTGGTTCCTACTTATCTGTTCTGTCATTTAAAAAGACTGGCACAATTAACTTTTTTTTTTTGTTTTTTTGGTGAGGCAGTCAGAGTTAAATGACTTGCCCAGGGTCACACAGCTAGTAAGTGTCAAGGGTCTAAGGCCGGATTTGAACTCAGGTCCTTGTGACTCCAAGCCTGGAGCTCTATCCACTTCGACACCTAGCTGCCCCTGACAATTAGCTTTTTTGCCCCCATGTAGTTTCATATATGATTTCTTGAAATACAGCATTGGGAAACCCAGGCTGATGGCTCAGGAGGAGAGAGTGAGGGTTGGTGACCTGCACAGCCCTGCCTCATTTAAATCCAATTCACTTGCAAGTGGAGACATCACCTATCTGATGTCATTGGTTTTCTTTGAGAACAAAGGACAAGCAAAAACAACAGTAGCAGTCTAGTGATACCAACCTTCTTGCTGTTCTTCACACAGGACAGTCCATCTCCCAACATTTGCACTGACTGTCCCCAGTGCCTGGAACTCTTGCCTTCCTCATCTCCACCTCCTAGCTTCTCTGGCCTCTTTCAACTTGCAGCTAAAATCTCACCTTCTACAAGAAGATTTTCTCAGTCCACATTAATGCTAGTGCCTTTCCTTCTCCAGTTTTTCCACTGTACCACTTGTTTGCATATACTTGTTTCCTTCTTGTCTTCTCATTAGACCATGAACTCCTTGAGGGCAGGGGCCATCTTTGGCCTTTCTTTATATGCCTACTGCTCAACACAGTGCCTGGCACATGGTAGGCACTTAATACGTGCTTATAGACTGACTTTAGTCTTCTGACTCCAAATCTACCACACATGATTGTTCTTTTACCTTCTGTCAGTTATCACTTTCATTTGTCTATTCAGAAGCAGAATGGGATATAGAGTAGCAGAATTCATTTTGTAGCTTTCATAATGTTGCCTAAGAGTTTCCTAAAGACTTATTGGTGTGTGTGTGAGAAGTTTCTCTGTAGGGGCTGGTGCCATGAGCAGAAATAAAGAGACAATGTGATATAGTAGATAGTGCTGGGTTTGGAGTCAAGAAGATCTAATCCCACATTTGATACTTAGTACTGCTTGATCCTGAGCAGATCACATTGCCTCTGTGTGCCTCAGTCAACTTTCTAGGACTTAGCTACAAAGTCATTTGTTGCTGTGATCTGCATTGTTGGAGGAAGCTCCCATACGGAAATTCCCTATGCTGACAAAATCATAGATCCTTTGTGTATTTATGCATAGTATGATGAAGAGAACACTGAGTTTGAAATTAGAAGACTTGAGTTGAAATCCTAGCTCTGTCACTTAATAACTGTGACACTAGACAAGTCAGTTTTACTCTCTGGCTCTCAATTTCCTCATCCATAATATCAGCTTGATGAGACATGTTTTGCTGACTGCTGAAGGTTGTTGTGGAGAAAATACTTTGTGACCTGTAAAGTGCTATATAAATCAGAATGAACAATTAATATACTCTGGACATGGCTTCAAAGTCTATAGGTATCTGTAGAATGGAATCTAGGATAGGTGTATTCATAACAGTGGATATGCATTCGTCTTATTGGAGTGCTGAGTGGTGGCTAATGATCGCTGTTATCTTTTTTCCTAGGAGGGCTCCCATATGAATTGACTGAAGGGGATATCATCTGTGTGTTTTCTCAGTAAGTTACATTCCAATTGCTACTATAATCGTGAAACCTCATTTTAGGTCTGCTAATAATGTTAAGAAGAGAGGCAGTATGGTGTGAGGGAAACGTCTGGGAGTGGGTTAGTTGTTTGGAGACAGAGCTCCTAGTGCTAAATTTGCCAGTAATTTACCATGTGAGATTGAATGAGGAAGTTTCCCTCTCTGGGACTCACTTTCCCTCTTTAGTGTAAAATGAGGGAGTTGGACTGGGTTGTTTTTAGGCCCTTTTCCAGTTCTTACATTGGGTGAGTTTAATAATTATAGAATTCATTCATTCAGCAAGCATTTAATTGTTAACTTTGTGCAAGGCACTGCGCTGTGTGCTAGATACAGAGAGCAATCAATCAACAAGCATTGATTACATGTTCATGCCTCCCCCAGAGCAAGTACCGGGCATACAAAGGAAGGCAAAAACAGTCCCTTATTTCAAAAGAGCTTACGTTCTGATGTGAGAGACCATGTGCAAATACATAAATACAGTAAATATAATAAAAACAATAATATAACTACATCTAACATGTACAATAAATACATAGGAGATACATACAATATAAATGGAAGGTAATCTGGATAGGACTGGCAATTCAAGAGTTACTAGGAAAGACCTTGTATGGAGAGTGGGATTTTAGCTGAGTCTTGAAGGAAGCCAGGGAGGTTAGGGAGAGGTAAGTAGGGAGAACATTCCAGGCACAGAGTCAGGAGATATGGAGTGTCTTGTGTAAGGAAGAGCAAGGAGGCCAGTGTTGCTGAATCGTGGAGTTTGTGGAGGAGAGTAAAGTATAAGAAGACTGGAAAAAATTGGAAGGAGTCAGGTTGTGAAGTGCTTTAAAAGCCATCTAGGACTTCATACTTGATCCTCGAGGTAAGAGGGAGCCACTGGTGTTTCTTGAATAGAGATGCTACGTGGTCAGACCTGAACTTGAGGAAAATCACTTTCAAAGCTGACTGGAGAAGGGATTGGAGTGGGGAGAGATTTGAAGGAAGGAGAGCAACCAGAAGGTTATTGCCATAGTCCAAGTGTGAGGTGATGATTACCTGTAATAGGGTGGTGGTAGTTGTGTGAGTAGAGAGAAGAGGACGTATAGGAAAGATGTCAAGAAGGAAGAAACAACAGGACTTGGCAACCAATTGGATATATGGGGTGAGTACAAGTGAGGGATGGAAAATGCCACTTAGGTTTTGTTACTGGGTGACCAGGAGAATTATGGTGCCCTCAGCAGTCATCATAGGGTTTGGGTGGGTGTAGGGGGGAAATAATGAGATTTGTTTTGGACATGTTGAATTTGAGATGCCTATGGGACATCCAGTTTGAAATGTCCAGTAGGCAGTTAGTGATGTGAGACTGGATGTCAGGAGAGACTAGGGGTGGATGAGTAGATCTGACGATTATCTGCATTGAGAGATATGAGCCCATGTGAGTTGATGAGATCAGCAAATGAGATAGTATTGAGGCAGAAGAGGGCTCAGGACAGAGTGTTGGGAGACAGCCATGATTGTTATATTCTGGATCAAGAGCCAGCAAAGGAGACAAAAGGAGCAGTCAGCCAGGTAGGAGAACCAAGAGAGAAGAGTGTCACGAAAACCTAGAGAGGAGAGAATATCGAGGAAAAGAGAGTGATCAATGGCGTCAAATATTGCTGAGAGGTCAAGAAGGATGAGAATTGAGGGCAGGCAATTTAGGTATGATAATTAAGAGATCATTGCTTATTTTGAAGAGAGCATTTTTTCAGTTGAATGATGCATTTGAAAGTCAGATTGCAGGTGATTTTTGGAGAGAATGAGAAGAGAGAAAGTGGAGGCATTGAGTATAGGTGCATTTCTCAAGGAATTTAGCTGAGAAGGGGATAGGAGGACCACAGCTATCCGGTATGGCTGAATCATGTGAGGGGTTTTTAAGAATGGGGGAGATGTGAGCAGGTTTCTAGATAGCAGGGTTGAAGCCAATAGATAGAGATTCTAGAGTAGTGGCAGAGTAGGGATAACAGAAGGAACAGCCTGTTAGAGAAGATGGTCAAGGATGGACTCAAAGGTCCTTGGAGAGGAGTTGGTTTTGGCACAGATCACCTGTTGAAGAATGGAATGAAGGAGGAGGTAGTGAGAAAAGTTGGCTGAATGGTGTGAGATGAGAACAGTGAGTGAATGCTTGATGAATGGTCTCAATTTTTAAGAAGTGTTTGATGAGGTCTTCAGCTCAGAGAGTGAGGCGGGGAGTACCCTGGTAGGCTTGAGGAAAGATGAGGTTTGGGATAGCCCCTATGGTGAGTGGGATAGAGAATCAATTAGGAAGGAGTAGAGAGATTGCCTTATTCCAATAAGGGCCCATTTGATATTCGATAGCATAAATTAATAGTGGGTCCAATTAGCATGGTTTCATTTTTCTTTCCAGTTCTATCCAGCAACATGTGAATAGGAGTGAAAGGTAGATGGGGGGGGTAATCGTGGGGTTAGGATTTGGCAATTTGTAATTGGTGATAGGACAAGGGAACAAGGGATGCAAACATAGAAGATTAGATTAGAGTTGAATTGAATCACCAAAAGTTAGAGATAGGAAAGAAAGGAAAGTAGTGATGGCCTGGGAAATGACTGAGGGTGGAGGAAATGGAGTTCATAGTGAGGATAAAGAGCAGGGTTGGAGGCTCTAAGGCATTAGGAAAGATAGAATCATAAACGATTACAGTCAAATAAAGGAATTTCAGAGTTCATGAACATGGATTAATGTGGATATGTGCTGAAGTGAGTATGGATACCAAGGGGTTTGTGTTAGCCTGGCAACTAATTCACTGATTTCAGGTCTCAATTTCCTCTTTGAAAGGAGAGGGTTAGCATAGAACAGATAGTGAAGTATACCTTCCTCCTTAGCAGAATTGAAAGGGGCTATGAGAACAGAGTGGTGCATACTTTCCTTTGCTACAGTGGGATTCAATTCAGGTTGTGTATGTTGTGGGGTGGTTTCCCAAAAGAATAGTAAATTCATTCTGTGTCTGTGTGACTGTCTACACCCCCCCCACCCCCCTCTCACTTTTTTTTTTTGTCCAGACTGATTATTTCATCAGTATAACAAATTCCCAGTGATCAGTTTCTGCCACCAATGCAAATTTGCACCTGCTCTTCAACTCTGGGTCTTATACTTGCCTGGGAGCAATTAGAGGTTCAGTGACTTGCCCAGGGTCACACAGCCAATATGTGGAAGAGACAGGACTTGTATCCAGTTCTGAGGCCATCTCTATATCCACTATGCCATGTTGTCTTTTAGATATGTGTATATATGCATGATATGAATTAGAAATATGAATATGAAACTGAATTAGAAAAAGAAATAAGATATTAGATGAATTGATCTCTAAGGCTCCTTTTAGCACTGAGAAAATCAATATTTGAAATTCTTTTGTTAGTGTGTAAGCAATTAATATGCTTTTTAAGAGTAAGTTTTTAATTGCTGCTTCTTACATCATAGTTATCCTCCATACTCTCTCCCTCCCAGAAAGCCATCTCATATAACGAATAATATTTTTTAAAGAGGAAAAAAGCCTAGCAAAACTGTTGCATACAAAAAATCTGAACATGTGCAATATGTAACACTTTTGTGGACTTCCCCACCTCCACAAAGAGATGGAGTAGGAATGCCTTCTCGTATCTCTTCATTCTGGTCTTGCTTGATCTTTATGATTTTATTACATTCCTTTTTGATTTTTTGGTGTGTCATTCTTTTCATTTATTTTGTTGTAGTCATTGTGTATATTGTTTTCTTGTCTCTGCTTACTTCACTCTGCATCATTTCATCTAGCTGTTTCCATTCTTCTCTGTAATCATCACATACATCATTTTGTAGAGCACAGTAATATTTTATTACGTTCATGTATCACAATTTGTTTAACTATTGCCCAATCGATGAGTATTTATTCTGTTTCTAATTCTTTGCTATCAAAAAAAAGTGCTCCTATAAGTATTTTGGTGTATATGGAGAGTTTTTCTCTTATTGATGCCTTCCTTGGGGTATAAGCCCAGTAACAGAATCTCTGGTTCAAAGGGTCTGGATGTTTTAGTCCATTTATTTGCATAATTCCAAATTGCCTTCCAAAATGGTTGTACCATTTCATGGCTCTACCAACAGTGTATTAGTGTGCCTAATGTTCAACAACCCATCCAACATTGAATATTGTCATTTTTTGGTCATCTTTGCCAATTTGCAGGGTATGAGATGAAACCTTAGGGTTGTTTTGATTTGCATCTTATTATTAGTGGTTTGCAACTTTCTTTCATGTGGTTGTAAATACTTTGCAATTTTTTTTTGAGAACTATTGATATCCTTTGACCATTTATATTGGGACATGTCTGTTTTATATATGTGTGTGTGTATGTGTGTGTGTGTGTGTGTGTGTGTGTATGGTATATGTATAAAATTGTATGTGTGTGTATATATAGTTTACATATGTTGGATACAAAACTTTTATCAGAGAAATGTGATAAAAAATTTTTTCCCATTTGACCACTTTCCTTCTTATCCTTAGATGCATTAATTTTATCTGTGCGAAAGCTTTTCATTATGTTATCAAAATTATCTATTTTATCTTTTACCACTATCTCTTGTGTGGTTAAGAATATATCTACCCTGCTGTGACAGGTATATGATCTTTTTCTTTTCTAATGTTTTATAGTATGATCTTTAATATTAAGGTTGCATATCCATTCAGATTGTATTGGGCTAAGATGTTGGTCTAATCCTAATTTCTACCAGACTATTATCCAATTTTCCCAGCAATTTTTATCAAATAAGGAGTTTTTCCTTAGGTAATTTATATTTTCTACTTTATCTAACACTGAATTGTTGAGTTCCAGTGTTTCTGAATCCCCTTTGTCTAGTCTCTTCCATTGACCCATCTCTCCGTTAACCAATGCAAGATGGTTTTGATGACTGCTGCTTTATAATGTAGTTTGAGGTATGAAAGGGCTATTCCTCCTTTCTCCCCACTTCTT